CGACAATGGATTGACCTGCAGGATGGGAACCCAAGGAAAGGAGAGTCTGAAGTCATCTGAGTCCCTGGAACATGCCACACCTGAATCCCACTGTCTCTAAGCTGTTGACTGCATGAAGCAATATATGTGTATGTGCCTGTGTGTATATATATTTTTTTCTGAAGTTGTCTTTGGTTAGTTTTGTTTGTTTGTTCTCTTATGTGGTGGGGGGAAATCTTTGCAAAAGAAAAAAATATCCTAACAGATACACTTATTCAAATAAATGGTCATACTTCTCCTCTCAAACTCAAACAGCCATAGCACCCTTATCCTGTGAATTCCACTTATTGCAGACATGAGATTTTGTCTTGAATTTATGCAGCGTTTCTCTCCCGCGTCCTCCCTAAATGAAGTCACACTGTTGGTGCAGACAACATCTGTTTTTAAACTATAGAAATACTGGCTGTGCCCTGCACTTGAGAGAGGGCCTCCTCCACCCACATCGATTGCTTACGTCCAACAGGGGAAGAAGGTAAGGCTAGAGGTGATAAAGATGTTTTCAGATACAGGAGAAAACTGGTCCAAACGACGGAGCTGTTGATCCCAACAATTTTGGTCCAAAGAGCTTTCAGATTTTGGTTTTCCTCTCTAGCCAGTGCAACTTTTACACTGCCAGCAGAATATTCTGAGACAGCACTGTGATCATCTATCTCTGTGATAAACATGGTGCAAAACCCGAAAGTGATCAAGGTCAACATCAACAATAGAAGCCGTGCTGTTAGTTCGCACCTTGATAGGAGGTGACGTGAAGGGCACTTCGCCTATGTGGGCCTCCTCCCCGAACCCATATCCCCAGCCTGATAGGGGGAAACACTTCAGACAGTCCAAGTAGAAGGGCAACCTACAAAAATACCTGCCCCGTGCTCCTCAAAACCAACAGGATCATCGGACACAGGATGGTGCGAGCAAGTCACAGCAGGAGGGGCCTGACGAGACGGACTAGTCAGGGGAACGTGGTGTGCTGAATGAGATCCTGGAACACAGGGAGGAGGCTAGGGAAAAGCTCAGGAATTGTGAATGAAGTATAGACCTTCGTTAATGACAAGGCATTACTGTCGGCTCCATTAGAGCCCAAGGCCCTATGCTAACGTGAGAACCTAGTAATAGAGGAAACTGTGCAGAAACGGAGGTTCTATGGGAACTCTCTGCACGGCCTGCTCAATGTTTCTGGAAATCTAAGACTGTTCTAAAATGAAGTCTATTACAGATAAAATTTATTTAAAAATCCATCACAGGATTTCTGTAGCTGCAGGAGGGTTTCCTGAATTTGAGGTGAAAGAGGATGCTTGGAATGAGTATAGATGGTACACGGTACACGGACAGTCTTAATTACCCTGAGCCACACCGTTAAATATTCCTTCTTGGTTATTTTTCAATCCTTCTGATTCAGTCACAAAGACAAACTCTCTGGCAGCCCTGGAAATACTTTTCTACTCCTGGCTCCCTTTTTAACCAAGAAAGAGAAAGCTCTCGGCTCAGAACTTCAGTTTGCATTATTTTAAATTTGTTCTATTCTTACTTTCATGATTTCTGTTGTCCTTACAATTGGTGATGTCTGTGGACGGGAGATAACCCTCCTTTCTTATTTATGATGGTGGTGTTTATTTCCTAAATTGATTGAAATAACAAAGTGAGCTCCTGTACTTTTTAAAAACCACTTGCCTTACACTAAACATTGTCTTCAGCTGTAACAAGAACCAGGAAAGCAGTATTCAAATCACTGAAGTTGAGGAGCAATGGCCAGCAGCGTGGTTAGTACAGCACACAGGCCCTGTCCCACTGGGGGACACCTGTCTAGTCACCTGTTGCCAGATGCTCCACCTGCAAACCCAAGAATGTCTAGGAGGTCAGGGTGCTGACGCCCAGTCACTGAGAGCTTAGAAGAAATGAGAGGCTCACCAATAGCAGGCTTGAATCCAATACGCTTTGTCTGAGCTCCCTTTTGACATGTGGCTTCATTTCCACTGGAATCCATGGCCTTACCACGTGGCAGTCTGTTCACCCGTACCAGTTAGGAAGCAACCAGTTTCCGTGGGTCTCTGTGAGCTGGAGAGCCGTGTTGGAGACCAAACTTACAACACGGAGCGGGATCCGAATCCCAGCCCCATATGTCCCCACAGTGGGACCAGGGGCCTGACGCATGCTCCAAGCGGAGGGGCTTGCTGACCCCTGGGTTCCAGGCCTGGCTCCATCACATCTCATCTAGGGGACCCTGGGGGAGGCAAGTAAGCTCCCTGGGCCTCCTTTTCTTGTCCTTGAAGTGAAGCTGACCATAGTACCTACCTTACGGGATTCCCGTGAGGATAAATACATTCACGTAAGCCCAGCACTTAGCAAAGCACCGGCCCCGGTGAGCACTCTGTATATGTTCACTCTTACTGACCGTCTCTGAGGGCCTCCACCTCCCTCACCGCTAAGTGTGGATCACGACCGTACCTACCCCAAGGGACTGTCGTCAGGAGTGAGCACGCCCGTGCACATTCACCCTTAGTGGTGCGGCTTGGCTCCTAACAAACAAAAATGTTCCGTTACTTTTACCCATGCTTACCTACTGTTCCTCCGATGATTATGATGGATTAGGAATGGTAAGAATTAGGCGGTCTTGCCAATGTTTTCTATTTGTAAGAGCAGTTCACAGATCCTAGGAGCAGTTAAGGTGGACGTTCAGGTCAAAACTTCAGGTACACCAAAAGCAAGTCTGTGGCTCAATGAAACTAAAGATGTGGCTTAGCTTGTAGTTGAGTCCAGCAGTGCGTGGGCTTGCATCCTTCTTGCCAGAAGGACTGGCTTGTGGGTAAAGAAGCAAAGGCTCCGAGTGGCCGGCTGGGTTTACATGACGAGGCTAGAACACGAGCCAGCTGCTTCAGGAGGGTCTGTGAGCTAAGAAATCCTTGTCCAACAAAAGTTCTTTTTCTACAAAAAAAGACAACATAAGGACGAGGGAGAAGGACTATGCAGGTCGCACAGAGATGGGTTTGACTGTGGGGGAATTTCACACATGGTGGCTGTGAGTCCATAAACCAAGTGTTATGTCCCCAGTGTGGTCAGGGGCCAATGGCAGGGGGGACTTTGTTCCATCCTCACATCCCCGGGGAATCTGCAGGGCTATACTTCCCTGTTCCCAGGGCGCTGGGGGCAGGGTTGGATCTCAGCAAACTTACCATGTGTGCTCGGATCAGCAACTTCTGCCGGGACCTCCGTTTCTCCATCTGTAAAATGAGGACACTAGGTTACACACATCTGCCATACGTTCTGGCTCTGAGGATCGATTCCTCTTTGATTTCAATAGTGGTAGGATTACTAAAAAGTAATGAGTAAATAGTAATGTGAGTCCATAACTTCCCCATTCTCTTCTTTTCAGCCCATAGGTTCTTCAAATGGGGATCCATGACCCCCCAAAAAGATTAGAACCCCCTACAATTAGAGCATTTATTAGAGATGGAATGAACTCACTTCAGAAAGAAACAAAGTTTATTTGATGAATATAAATAAGGCGGTCAGCACAAAGTACTTCTCATACACATGATAACAAATTTATGAACTGTACATACCTTGTACGTGGTACATTTACTAGACACGAGGTTACAATGACTGGCTAATACATGCCCATTGGTAGTTTCTGAGGGTTCCTTAGTTTTATTTATTTGTTTCATATCGAAGTCCATAATCACATGGTCAATATCACAACCCACATGCCACTCACTTGAAGAAAAATCACAAGAGGCATTATCAAACGAGGGTCTCTGGGAATTAGATACACTGACCCCTGCAGCATTCAAACACCACTCTGCACAAAAACATCTCAGATAAAGCTTATGCCGACACATTTGAGGTCTCATCATAACACTGTTTAAAAAGTTAATGGAAAACCACTTTCAAATGAAGCTCAACACCCTGTCAACGTGCATACTGGAAACACAAAAATCGTTGAATATAAAATCGAGACTGTACATCAAAATCAAATGGGGATAAAGTGCAAGCCTGCTTTTGCACGCAGCGAGAAGACCAAAGGTCAGCTCAGCTTTGCTTCTCAACTTCGCTACGATTTGAGGGCAACCTGCTAACGTTTGCGCAAAGGAAGTTATCTTGCCAGTGTCACAGTGTTTGCTGTAAACTCAGAGACTATTTTTAAGAGGAGAAGAGGGAATTTTTTTTGGTAACCAACCCCCAACATCAGAGACTTATCACACAAAATGGGAAAAGATGCTATGTGAGACAGAGTTTAACTTTTAAGGGGATTAAATGATATGCCCCCATAGAAATAAGATGGATAATACTTTAAAACTGACAGAAGTGGGGCAAAATAAAAGATCCCCCAAACAACAGCTGTGACAAGATTGGCACCTACTTAGAAACAGCTAAGTGTACACGGTCGGTTGCTCTTCCTGTTTCAAGGACCCTACTCTCCACAGAGGATTTCCTACTTGTCACTTCAAGTATTCGGCTGCAGGGTTTGGGTCAGGCCCTGGCTGGAGGAGGCGGTGAGAACCACGGACTTCAGGCCCCCTGAGCTGTTCACGGGGACCCTCGTGGCCTATGTTCTCAGCACGACATCACGTCCGCACATGCTAAATACACTTGCAAAGAACTCTGGTGTTTCTCTGATCCAGACCTAGATCCCTTGGGTAGGTAAAGGACAGACCTTTCAAACATGAATGCATTTGGGTTGTTGATGCAACAGGTAAGCTTTATGTGGTTCGCCGTCCTTAACGACAAGAACACAGCCACAAGTAAGACACCTGCTCGAATACATGACTCCTGGTGCGCCGAGGATGAACGGTGCAATTCAGACATGGTTTCATCCTGCCTGACAAACAAGGTGTCTGTCTGTTAAATATCTCTATGGCTCACAGGAGAGGTCCAGAGTTAATTGCACCAACATTTGAAAAAGTATTAATAATGACTGAATTCAATACAAGACTTCAGGAACATCTGTGGAGAATCCTTTCCACAGCAGCAAAGAAAGACAACTATATTTATTAAGGCCTCTCATGCTTAACGTCACTGTTTGTCCTTGAAAAATGCAAATTTTCATCCCCCACTTGCATACACATGGAAGGCTTTCTTCCATTGACAAGAAAGTAGATCAATACACGAGGCCGCACATGTTTTCCAGACTTGGTCATGAGTTTTACAAAGTTATAACAACTTAAAATATTTTTTTGTTATCTTCAGAGGAAACAGTAGGAGTTTAATTCTCCTTAGTACCATGTCACTATATGTAAAAGACCTCAAAACGTGGTCTCTTTCCCTGGCATGTCCTTTAAATAATGACTCCGTACCCACAAACATGTTGTGTAGAGCTATATACAGATACACAGCTTTTGTGATTTTTTTTTTCCTCATTCATCAATGTTTTCATGTTTGATGCTGAAAATGCTTTGGAATCCATGTTGGAGACATTTTTTTTTTTTTTTTTGAGACATGACCCTTCATTTACAGGATATAAGCTTACATGGTTGAGATCTTGAAATGCGAGTGAGTTCCAGCTTCTTAATGCAGACCTGCAAGTCCGGGAATGGTAAGAGTCTGAGGTTTGGTCACCCTCCCAGCCAGGGGTTGTACGGAACAGGCTGGGCAGAAATATGCTGTTCCCTCAGGTGTTTGCCACTCCCGGTACAAACACAGGGTTGATAAAAATCATGAATGATCAATTTAGATGTACCAGACATTGTCAGAGACACACACCATGTTCTCATAAGGCGATTTCTTGGCAAGTATTAGTGGTTTCAAAAAATTGATTTCATTTCCAACCTGGCCCAGAGGAAAACTACTGGTTATCACCGTCAAATTGGGGCTCTTCGGACAGCGGGTTAAAGAAATAGAGGAGGGTACAGGCTTGCCATCTTTGGGGTTTTGGTTTCTTTGCCAAACACTCCACACACCTTAGTATACAAACACTGCCAACGCCACTCACTCCCAGAAGTCACACTTTTTGATAATCTAATGCATTAGGAAACGACCACTTAGACTGAACCAGCGGGAAACCTGGAGGTGAAGCTAGTTGTCCAGCAGAAGCTGAACCCACAGCTGAAATGTCACGGAGTTCAAACTTATCCAATGATGTCTTAGGAACATAAATAAAACTCTATCAAATAATGATATTCTGAAGGGATGGTCACGTTTTAAATGCCCAGATCCCAACAACAAAAACCCCGGGAGCTCTGTCATTTTCCTCCTTCTAGTATTCTTCCTTTCTGACGTATCTGATGCCAGAGAACCGACAGAGGTGACGGAGGAAGCAACCAGGCCGGCCGGAATCCTGCTCAGTGAGGAAAGTGAAACATCCTCTTCGGCCTGATGAGCCATCCCAGGTGGTGGACAGTGATGTGAACCGCACTGCAATAGATGATCAGAATATGGCTGCAGGACTATGTTTTCCCTTTAGTCAGCCCTTCTGTAGCTGCAACAAGAAAGCACAGAATTTAGCAGGGAAAATGAGTGGCAGTGACATCGGAGAAAATCCTGGCAGGGCTCCCCGACCCCCGACCCCCGACCAGACCCTCCAAGACTCCCTTCCCGTGGGCTGGGCTGGGACTAGGGGTGGGGGAGGCAATATGCAGCAAGCACAGAGGAGGGATAAAATGAACAGAACACGTCTGCAAACACATCCGAAAAGAGGCATCTGGCAAAACATGTCACACCTGGGCACAGAAGTCTCTTTTTAGGCAAAAAGAAGTTGAAAGGAAATAGGCCAACATGTTCCACTGGCTATTTCTGTGTGACCAGTTTATGTGTCCTCTCCACACTTTTCTACAACGGGTACGATTTGTAAATCATTGTAACCTTGACTTCATAGAGATTAGACGGTTGAACATGGTCAAGACGCCAGAAAAGTTGACATTCACTTAAAAACCACCTAAGAGCAATGACTTAAAAGAACTCTGCATCTAGCAATTCCACTGGAAGGTGTAAACCAAGAGGAATGGAAAACAGGGACTCAAGCAGATACTTGTATGAAATTCTCACAGCTGCATTATTCACCAAAGGTACAGACAACCCCGTGTCCATCGACAGATGCACGGATACACAAAATGTGGTATCTATGTACAGTGGCATGTTAGGAATGAATATTTCTAAGAAGATTATTCCTAAAAAGAGATGAAGTTTTGACAAATGCTACAATATGAATGAAGCCTGAAGACATCATGCTAAGGGAAATAAGCCAGACACCAAAGGACAAGTACTATATGTGTCCATTTAACTAAAATATCTAGAATAAACTCAGAGATGCAGAAAATAAATCAGAGGTTTACCAGAAGCTGGAGAGATTGGGAGGGGCAGGGGATGGGAGTAACTGCTGAGAAGGTATGGAGTTTCTGTTTGGGCTGAAGAAAAAGTTCTGGAAATGCCTGGTGTTGATTATACAACCCTGTGTGTGTACTTCATGACACCAAAATGTCCTTAAATTGGTTAAAATGGTAAGCTTCTATGTATGCTTTATCATAATAAGAACATATTTTAAAAATAATGTTGCTCTCTCCTAAAGAGAGAAGAATGAGGCCATGTGGGCTTTCATCCCTCCATCCAAGGGCTCCCAACCCCAAACATAACTGCATCAGTCACTCATTCACTCATTTCATGCCCTGTGGGACGTATGCCTAGAAGCACCCCTCGTTTTCTCCCTGTCCCAGAAAGGGGCCCTGCAGGTGGACTGTAACTGCAGGCTGGCAAGAAACAGAGAGATGGGTGCAAAGAGAGGGCCACCCCGACCCCCCTTCAGAGGGTGCCTTTCTTCCCTCCTGCTGCTTAGCATTGTACACCTGCCCCCTGATCGTTCACATACGGTATCCTGGGGGGCTTCCAGACAGATGGCAGTAGGGCAGCTATCCGGGAATATGGCAGGGAGGGGAAGATCAAACACACACACCTACACATGTGTGAGCCACTTTGCGTACACAGCCTGAGCTGTCTGACGTGGTGGCTGATACACAGAATTTCTCATCACACAGGCTAACAGGCACCCCCAAGATTCCTAAGTCTGCACAGGTAGGAGGTCATCCCAGGCCACCATTAGACAGTGCGAATGAAATATGTGGCTTGGATGAACTCTGCTAATTCATACTCTGAGGAGTTTGGTGTAACCCTTCTGGTTAAGAAACTTGAATCAGGACAAAAGAGAAAAAAAAAATACGACTTTTGTAGAGCCAGAAAGTGAGGGAGTTCCTTGAGCAGATTGTATTACTCATTCTGGCGCATAAAATCTCTGCAAACTTTGTATGAAAATTATAAGTCAGAGCACGCTTTCTGCTTCGTGAACTGTGCATAGCTCTAATTCTTTTATGCATTAAGGGTCTCTTAATCATCCTCTTAAAGGGCTGACCAATATATTAAAAGGCCACATGATTAAAAGGTAAAGAGAAACCCGAAGTAATACTAAAGTGCACCGGTCATATTCTACAGAGGGGGAATCGAGTGAAAAACAAGTGCAGCGAATGTTTGATATCCTTGATGTTTTTCCAAGATTAAGTAGCACAGAATCATCATTTATTCAGTTGAGAGAAAGATTTCCAGCTGGGTAACAGGTCACAAGACAGACTACGGGGCCTCACAGAAGCAATGCGCTGCTCTTAGGCAGGGTTCATGCTATGGAAATAGGACAAGCAAAATGCACTGCCAAGCCCCCAGTCGGACAATTCTGTCACGCGGGGACATAAATGGATTTGAGAGAAATGTCTCAAGGGACACTGCCAGCAGTGAGACAGGCAGAGCACCCCTGGTGGAGGGGCAAACAAGCATATGCGTTCAATAATAATACAGAAAGGCATCTCGGCTTCCAGCAGTGAGGCGATGTGGGCAGCCACCCACTGTGACCGAGTCTCTGACCAGTCCTCGCTCCTATGGGGGGCTGCAGCAGGCAGACCCCGTCCCCGTGCATCCCCTCTGACGGCTCCCAACTCTGCGCTCTGGCTGCACTGCCAACAGGACGTTTCCGTAAGGATGTGGACTTCAGCTTGCAGTCCCCGTTTAAGACCTCCATTTACAGCCCCACTGCCCCCGGGATGGAGGGTGGACTCCCGGCCCCTCTAACCTCCAGCATCTCTCACGCTCCGCTGACACTGACCTTACCTCTCAGTCCTGACGCTTTCTTTTCCTCCTGTTCTCACAAGTCTGTCTAATGTGCGTTTACACCAGCCCTCGACCTGACCGATTCCTACTTATTCTTCAGCCTCAGTTTAGACGTCACTTCTTCCCTGGAAGCCCTTCCATACGCCCGAGGATGGGAGGTAGCACAGGAAGGCACACATACTGCACTTGTCTGCATTTTTACCGTCCAATACGGTAGCCACTGGTCCCATGTGGCTACTCAGCACACGAGATACAGCTAGTCCAAATTGAGATGTGCTGTGTAAAATACCCACCAGATTTTGAAGATTTACTGTGAATTTTTTTATGTTGATTTTGAATGGATGCAAATCAATATATTGAATTTTGGATTTAGTAGAAATTTTGTTCTTATATTGATTTCATTTTAAATGGTATTTTGGATCAAATTAAATATGTTAGAATTGATTTCACCTGTTTATTACTTTCTTAAATGTGTCTACTAGAAAACTCAGAACTGCAGAGGTGCCTGCATTGTATGTCTGTGGACCAACACTGGTCCAGACGACTCTAAGCTCCGCCAGGGCAGGAACCAGCCTTGCCTGTGTGGTGCCCTCTGTGCCCTGCACAGTTCACGGAACGAGTCGATTCACTCATTCATCCCACAGGTGTTCCGGAGCACCGAGGGTAGGCATAATCCTAAAGTCACCCCCACCCCAAAGATTTCCTGCTCTAGTCCACGGCACCACGAACATCTTACATTGTAATTATGTCACCGAACAGGGTGTAATTAAGGTTACTAACCAGTTGACTTTAACTTCATTACAAATGAGATGATCTGAGTGGACCTAATTTAATCACAGGAGCCCTTTAACAGCAGAGACTTTTCTCTTGCTGACAGCAGAAGAGATGGGGAAATTTGAAACAGGAGAGGAATTTCTGTGCTGAGCCATGGGGCAAGGACCTGAGGGTGTCCGGTAGGACCCAAGTGCAGTTGTTAGTCAATGGACAGCAAGGAAGCAGGGACCTCAGTCCTACAATCACAAAGAATTCAGTTTTGCCAACAACTGAATGAGCTTGGAGGTGGGTGCCTCCCCATAGTCTTCATGTTAAAGTCCAGCCTGCCTGACCCCTTGACTATGGACTCATGAGGCTTTAAGGATTAGAACCCAGTGGAGCCTGACTGTTTTTCTGATTTACAGAATTGCAAAATCACAAATGGGTATCATTTTAAGCCACGACATTTGTGTTAATTTCTTATGCAGCAGTAGAATGCAAATATTGCTCCTTCCTGGATCAGGCATTGTGATTGGTGCCAGAGATATGAGTGAAAAAGAAAATCCATGTCCTCATAGAGCCTGTTTTTTTGGGGAGTAAAACAGACAACAAATAGATACACAAATAAATAAGAGAATGAGGCTTTGTAAAATCTGTACCCCAAGACAATGAACAGGGAGCTATTTAAGATTTACTATCTGACATTTGTATTTGTTTTATTCCAGAAAGATGTTCACAGGTTTTCAGTGAAAAAAAGCAGATTACGATTCTTGCATTTTTTTGCATCAGCACACACGTAAACAATTTCAAGTGCATATACCACAATATTGTTAATAATTACCTCTGGGTGGTGTGTTTGAATTTTCTTCTTTAGAATTTTTGTGTAGTCCCACCTTTTGAAAATTTTAAACCAAAAAAAGTCTGACTAATATCATAGAATAGAAAGCTTTTTCCGTTGAAAAATCTTGATGAGGTTTCCTGAAAGGAACCCCACAATTGGTGAGCAGGATGTGGGTGCCTGTGGGGAGGTGGGGTGACCAGCTGAGCCCAACAGAAAGATTCCGCCCCAGGACAAGCGACCCCAGGACAGAAGGCTATAAACGTGTGGTGTCTCACAAATATTCCTTCAGACTGTTTTACTTGGGAATAAAGACACCTGCCCGATTATGACTTTCTTCTCCCGCCCTTTCAGTAGTGATTTGCAGAAACAGGCTGGGAGAAAGGGGTCTTTGGTAAACACACAGGGGTTAAAGGGGAAACTGTTTAATAACAGTAGTAAAACGCAGGCTATTTTTGACATCTGGGTTAATGTCCATTACACTCCATGTGCTTTCCAAATGTGGGCAGTATGCCCCCAGGTACAAAAACAGGCACCCATTCACAAGGGCGCTGGATGCCCCTGACAGTGCGCATGACGTCCACAGACAGCGTGGCCCCTGATAGGCTGATTCACAACAGTGCATCTGGGGCAGCAGGTATCCTGTGGAACAATCCCGTGAAAGCGGCTCTGCTCACGAGAAAACCCAGCAGAGCCGTTTCTGCTCAAAAAGAAAAAAGAAAATCTATAACTACATCTGTGTT